CTGCATAATTTTATGTTTTAACCAAAATCAAAAACCTTATTTAAAATATTATTCTGTTTCAACATTTTTTTTTTTTTTTTTTTATTAAATAAAACAATAAATTAAATTATCTATCTCCTGTAAGCTTACGCTTCAAAACATACAGCACATTTCGTCTAGCTCGTTTGTACATGTTACAGTCAAAGCGTAAAATTCAGTCATTTTATATAATGTCTAGTTATTTTTTAGAACATCATATAATTTTAGGCAAAATAATAATAATTGCTACTTTTATATACAATTACAAAGTGATTTTAAGCAATTTAGTAATAATTAATAATTTTTTTGTGCAATGTCTAAACATTTCATAAAATTCAATAATTAAATAAGTAAAGTTTAAATTAAATTGAATTTTTAAATTTTCTAATTTATATAAGATTAAGGTATTAATAAACATAGCATATTAATTACTTATTACAAGATAAACAACTGGAATCACATTTTGAGTTGCACAAAACGGTATTCAAACAGATACATTTTTTACTTTGGCATTTTGTTGAGAACTATCACTTAATAAATCCTTGTCCACTTCCTGTTGACTGCTTAGTCGTAATTGATCGCAATGCCATATCTTTTTTAAGTTAAATCTCATCTAAGCGAAGAAGATTTTTTTTTGTACATTGTAAATTACAATCTTGCACACCATATCTTGTGCCCAATCGATAAAATCCTTCTACAGTATTTTAAAAATAACATATTTCAAGTTTATTATTTGAGTAAAGTAGATTAAATATTTTAGAAACAATTACCTCAAGAACTATATCTAAATTTTTTTCGAGCATCGCCACATTTGTCTATATCCGGAATTGATACTCCATTTTTTTGTAGACAAATTAATTAAGCATTCGTTGAACTTAAATTTCTAAACCTAGAAAATGGAACTGCAAAATGAACTTTTTCATTTTTAGAGGGGATTTGCTCATCGTTGTATATTTTCTCTACGTTGATGTCAATTTATTTTTCATTACAGTACACAGTCGATTCTACGTTCACAATATTTTCTAATTCTTCTTTATTTTCAGTCACTTCAATAACGTCTTTTGACAAGTTTGATGTGCTCAATCCTACTTTAATTTTACAATTAAATAATGCCTCATAATGCGAACACTTTATGTCCGAATGGTAAGCTCAATTTTTCATTTATCGAATAAATCGTAGACCTTGGCTCCAGTTTAAACATTTTTTCTCTTCTATCTAAGTTGTAAACATATTTTTCATGTCTGGATTAGCAAGTTCTACGGTACCCTGGCTTTGGCTATGTCTCGGTTTTCCGTGAACTATTTTTAGTTCTGCCCCTAGGATTTTTATCTGATTGGAAAACTTACGGCCATTATGAGATTTTCATAATAAAGGTCTTCCCAATAATGTGAAAATGTCAATAAGATTATGTACTCCTTCTTCTGGACGTTTAAATTCTAAAGGCTTTATTACTATAAACTTTGTCAGATACTTCTGGTAAATCATAATGAACTTGTCAAATCTATTTGGCAACGCGAATTTAATTCAATAAAAGTAAGAGTCTTGAAAACAATTCTTTTATTAATGACTTTTTGATTTTTCTGACATGGCTCACATAATTGTAAAAATAATTAAATTTCAGTAAGAGTTATATTTTTATATTTTATGGAAAATGTTTTAACCATTCGATTGCATTCTCTGTGACAAATTGAACAGTAAGTACTATAAAGAATTTCATATAGTTTGTTATCAGAAAGATAATATAATAATTTGTTTTCCGTTATTATTGAAAGTATAAGCTTTTTGTTATTCTGTACCACTGATACGTAAAATCTATAAAAATATATGTTTACAGTGTTTTCATGATGCTTATTAACATTTAAATTGTTCAATAAATAAAATATTTTCATTTTTATATTAATATACCTATTTATTTTTTTAATAGCTACTAATCTCTTGAACTTTTTTTGTTTACCATTTTTTTTTTAAATTTCAATACTTCGTTCAGTATTTCTTTGTAGTTTTCACTTGTTAAAAATGTACTATTTTTATTTGAGATGTAGTGGATTTTTTTTAATTCGTTATTAAATCGTTCCATTTAATTTGGCTAAGCTATTCTGCTACCCAAGCGAATTGTCATGGACTAACACATTAATTAATACTGATATATTAAATCGGGTCCACACTAGAGCAACATACAGCAACTTTTTCACTTGCAACATGTTGCTTATTCAAAAGTTGATAAATGTTGACAAAAGTCACTTTATGTTTTGATTAAAACCGAAACACGGGGAAACATGTTTCCACTAATCAATGAAAAATTGGTAATAAATAGTGTAACAAACAGGTAGCGACAATTTTATCAGTGAGGACAGAATGTTCCAGCCGTGTGTTGCCAGTTATCACGTGTTTCTATAGCGTGTAGTTTTTATACTCGGTGCAAATTTAATGAAATTTTCTACAATGATAAAACCTCAAAATTACTTTATCATGTACCTATTTAACATAAAAAAATTATTTAGTTCTAGTACTGACTGTACTAAAATGTTCCATGTGTGATGGACACATTATCGCAAGAAACACAGAACAACAGGTTTTGAATTGTTTCTATTAATTTGTTATTGGTAATTTGTTGCTATGATATGGACAGTGTATTTATAAATGTTCTCGTTTGTTTCAAGGAAACAAAAACAATTAGAAACACTCGTCAATATTCAGGAACTATTTGTTGCTCTAGTGTGGTCCCGGCTTTATGAAATTATACCGATTCTAATCAATATTTTCTTATCGATCTAATATCAATTATTTTTATCGGTAAAAAAAAATTTTGATTGTATTAATTATACATTGCCTAAAACATGTTTATCATTTTACATAATATGTAGTCAGAGTATGAAATATACACTTTACCTAACAGTATTCGGCATTTTATATAATGTCTAGTCATTATATACAATTCCGCGTTATACACTTGAATTGTAACATATACATATTTATGCTTAATGCATTTTGTATTCAGTTATCGTATGCGTACCACATTAAACAAAATGTAACTATGAGTTTTTATTTTACTTTTATTCTCTATAAAAAATTATAATTTCTTATACTCAAATGTTTAAACATAATATTTAGTACAAATTAAAATATTATGATTTGTCTTTTGAAGTTTTTAAATACTTACACATAGATTTCAAATTTAATTCAATGTTACAATATATTAGTCACAAATTATTAAAATTTGAATACCAAATACATAGCAGTGTTAAATAAGTTGTATGAAAAATCAACTATAGACTGACTACATTACAAGCATTAATAACAGTGATTTTTGACCCAAAATAATTTTACTTCATGTAATTTTTAATCCATACAACATGATTATTTTTTGATTATTCACAACCACTGCAAACGAAAAAAATACAATATTAGCTAACATATTTTGTATCAGTATAAACTATAAACCTATCAAGTATAAATAAATAATTAGGTTTGGATGTTTTTTTTCAGTATAAAAATTACTATTGAAATGGAATAGGTTTAGTTGAATTTATGTAGATAGGCTAAATGCTATGCGATTTAATACAAAATAGTGATTTTCTAAGAAATAAAACATTAAATAAATAATTAAATGCTTATTAATTAAATAGTATGTCATTAAACAAATATTTTAGTTTATATGTTTAAACTAAATATCTACATAAACCGGATTTACAGCAAAATAATGATTTCTTATTTATATAAACTATTCCAATATCCAAAATAATAATAATAAAAAATAATTTTTTTTTTTATAAATATATTCTGAAAAATCTATACAAAACCAATGCCAGGAGTGTAATTTCATTTTAAGCGCCGAAAAATGCAGTGATTAACTTAAATCAGCTCTTATATATTTTTACATTTTTTTTTATACTTATATATTCAATTCAGCATAGCATAAAACGTTTTGTAAATAAAATAAATAATGAAGTAATATTGAATAATATGAAATAGATACAGAAAATGTTCAAAGGATGAATTAGATAATTGATTTATAATTATTTTCAGAAATTGTAATAATAACAATTAAAAAATTTAATACTTTCAGTAAATACCTTTATTTACTCGATATTTGTTGATATAATATTTTACTTCTTTTGATAACTACTACATTGTTTGGCTTATAATATTTAATGCATTTGTTTTTTACCATCACAATGTTTCGTGTTAAAATATGAACGATAAAACACTCATTTTTTTATTGAATTTACTTTTTGTTTTATCCAAACAGTGACTTATAAATACATTTTTAGAAATAACTATAGATAAATACAATTTTAGTATAATATTCTTAACATGGCCGATGATGAAATCGAATCAAATGAACAACAAAGTGTGATTGAAGGAACAAATCGTGATTCAAAAGATGATGAAAACGTTATGTTCTACTTTTTGTATAAAATAATTAAGAAAAAGATTTTAAAACGTCATAAAGTCGGTGGTAAATAGTATATTACTTAAAAAAAAATTTATACATACTGCTACGTATATTTTGTATATTATAAATAAACGTTCGAACGATTAAGTATGTAAAATTAATACGTTTTGATTAAAAAATACAATTAAAGTTTATTATTTTTTTTTGTTGTAAATATTGTTTTGAGTATACTGGATTAACATCAATTTTAAGTTAACATCTATATTTTTAATTTCCATATACGTGTGTATGCATATTTTATTTATATTATACAATAACCATATAGCTACTCAGATTTAATCAATAAATATTTAAATAGCGCGTATTTATGTATTTTAAAACCGTTATACTAATATAATACGATTATGGTTGACAGTTATAAAGCAATATAGTATACCTACGTCAAGTATAAAAAAAAATTAACTACTTAAACAAACTAAAATTCTACTTAGATTTTACATTTATCTGGTCGGTAATTTTGTGGTATACGAGTAGATACCTTTATTATTATCTCAATATTATTTTTATAACTGTAACTCTGTTACAGATGTTTGCACATTTTCAAGTTGGTTAAGAGCGTTGGAACAGTGTCCAAATAAAAAAGTTCGATATGAGTACACGCAACTCATGATCTTGGCTTTAGAATATCCGGAGCCGGTGTGCCCATTCAAAGATCCTCCGCCTGAGACAATTGATCCCTTGGAACACGGGGTAAACTATTCATAATAAAATCGAATGAAACATTATTAAATACAGTTATAAAATACATCTAAAGGTAATCGAAACTTCGAGGAGATTCAGAAACAGAGAAGGCACTGCAACTTGTACACCAATCGATACTCGCATTTCTAATCCGACCATTACCACGTCAGTCACTCACAATAATTGTCGGTTTGCATCTTCTCAGATCATCCCGAATGTGGGCGTTCAAGTTTATTACGCATACTCGGACGAACCACTCTATAAGTGGTACATACCGCCTCAAATAACAGTGCCAAAAAAAGGTCCACATGCAGGACCTTTAGAATGGGAAAGAGCAATAGCGGGTATTATGCCCAAATGGAATAAACTAAAAGTTGAGAATCCAATACTTCTCAACACTCAAATCAACATGGATGAAAAGAAGTAAGTGCATATTGAAATTTAATTTGTGATGTTCGTGTAATTACTTTATCATTGTTTTTTTTATCAGGGAGGAATTGGCATCAGTAAATGGCAGCAAAATATCAGAAGCGAAGTAACTGAATTATATTTTTCATGTTAATTGGTAAAATATGTAGTTACATGTAACATGTAAAGATGGCACCGATTTATTAATGTCACTATTGTCTTTATGCACTTCATAACCCTTCATGCACACTATGCATTTGTCAATTCTATTATAATATTTTCATTGTATAGTTATTTTATGCCATACAATTTGAATAGAAATAATAAACTTTTACAAAAAACATTTTGTAACATACACGTCATAATTTCAATTGTTTATCGAATTAAAAACTTAATAAAAGTCAATATAATTGAAAACATGTTTAGCTACTATTTTATATTTTGAGTAAAACGAGAAATGGGTTAGTTATACTAGTAGGATTGCTCTGCTCTGATCATCACTTATTAAAAAGTAAAATATATTAACCTGGTCTAGTTGATACATTGGAGGAGGGGTCATTTTACTAGTTACCCTACAGTTTTCTGAATAATAACGAAAAACTAACTAAAAGTTTTTACAAGTATGACAAAATTTACGACATCCAGTTTTCGATAAAATCTTATCGTTACATTGTAACTCAAAAAATTATAATTAAATTTATAAAATTAAAATAATAATTTAACAAATTATAATTATAATAAAGGAACTTAAGATTTTCACTGAACATTTATGTCAATGATCACTGTTAATATTATATTTTTCAAAAGATTTTCTTGAGATATTTATAAATAGTTATATATATATATATATATGTATATATAGTTGATAATTCTAAGCAGGATTGCACACAAAAAATATTTACTATACATTAAATATTTATTATACATTTTCATAATTATATAATATATGAACCACTTTTACTCGATAAAAACGTATTTAATATTTTTTTGAATTTTGGAGGAGGGAGGTTTAGAACCCTAAAACCCTTCTTGTATACGCACCTGATTCTATGTATACTTAGATTTTTTTCGAAAATGTTGATAAAATATTTTTGGTTTAACAAAAAGTCTTGAAATCATAATACAAAGTTCCTTATACATATCTTTTACCGAATAATCTTATTCTTCTTTTCGTGTCGGTCTTCAAATTCCTTATCTGCCAGTAGGCAGCAATCTGTGTTACTTTATTTGATATGTCATTGTTCGTTTTCCTTTTTTTACATTCGATTTTAAATGTAAAATACTTAAGAAAAAAATTTGTTTGATACAGGCATAAATCCTATTTTCTCTTTCAAATAACACAAATAATTATAAAAATTAATTAAACAACTGACTTATTTTGATATAATTACAATCCATATGTAAATGAATAATTATAAAACAAATTCAATTTTTTCAAAAATGTAATAAATACTAATTTTGAGCGTCAGACAAGTTTTCTGTAATAACATTTTTACAAAAACCTTAAATTTTTCCTTCGTTTGAAATGTATAAATAATTATCTAAAACATGTTTTTCAAATTTTCTTTACGTTTAACAAATTTACTAAAGTTGTTATCGAATAAAATCTTGATAAATTATTGTATTTATTATTATAAAATTTAGAAGCGACAGGGCGAGAGCAAACGAGAAACCGGATATTTGTAATGTAATGAACATTGAGCAACAAAACCGAAATGTGACTGAAAATTTTGGCTGGAATGATGCTAGTATATTAACAGGAGAAAAAATAATTGGTGCTGAAATGTGTTCTGATTACAAAATGGATGGTCAAGTTAAGTCACAAATCGAACTCGACGAAGAAGCTGCCAGTGCGTTCGATAAACTTTATCCCGGTGATTTTAGAATACACGTGGATTATTCAGTCGTCGATGTTTTAGTCCCAATGAACAAGATGATTTCCATGGAAGCTGGCGATAAAAGTAATTGAACACAGCCTATCGCATTGTTGGCATTGTTTTTAATAATCGTTTAACCCGTAGACGGCAATTAGGTGAAATTTAGAGAATGTTATAATTATGTGAGTGCCATATACATACGTAACCATACTCTACATAATACATTTAGAATTCATTGTATTAATAAAAATATTATTTTTACGTGATTAAATATTTTTAATAGTAAATACTAGCGATTACAATAATGATTATATATTATGCAAACAATATCACAGAAAATCGCAAAAAGGAATAAGTATAATTATTAGGAAACATTAAATCGTATATGCTATTCGGACCGAATAATTTTATTTTAAAATTTAAAAATATATTACACAATAACATTATGTAATACATTTTGAACTTAATTAAAACTAAATTCAAATCAATTTTTTTTAAAAATCCACTAAGAATTTTTTAAGAATCAATTGCTAAACTTAAATATATAATAGTTAAGCAGTGGTTAATTAACAGAAGATTAGAACACATGAACAACTGAGAGAGCAGCCTAGGATATTTACTCTTTATGCACTCCAACATGGTTAAATTATTTAACTAATTAAATATTTTAATGAAACAATTTAATATTTTTAGAAAACACTGTAACAATAATTGTTATAGTGTCTTCCAAAAATATTGAGTCCTGCCATTTTAACACTAGCAATTTGTTTCTACTCGAAGGAATTACTAAAGAAAAACAACACGAACTTTGCGATGAAAAATCTTCTTCAAAACCACGACAATGCAGCTCCACCACAGATGTATGTGCCGATTCGAAGAACGCTCTCCGACAAAACGCTGGTCAGGAAAGCACAAGGCTGTCCGTAGATTGCGGCCCCAAGGGCATCGCGGAAGCGAAGAACCGTAATCGCAAAATTTCAAAACTATCTGCCCATTTGAACGATTTGACTGTCAAATCACAAACATTTAAAACCCGTAAAAACGTCGATCCCGAGTGTCCGAAAACCATTATTGAATCTCCCAAGGACGAATTATCGCAGCGTCGTGTATCAAATACAAATGAACTCTTTGATGACCCCGAAAGTTCAAGTGGAAAAAAATGTACTCTCCAAAAAGATCTTTTGAGTACACAAAATGAAGCTGACTGCATCGAAGAAAGTTCTTACGACGGAGCGAGATCGCTATCACTAAACGACGGTAAAGAACTGGAAAATAGTGATCAAGACTATGAAAGTTTAGATGGACCTTTAGATCTGTAAACTGTTCAAAGCTATAGTTAATAAATTAAATATTGTGTTTTATATCTCTGAAAATGTCACACGTAATAACTGAAATGCTTCAAAGCGTTAAATTCATAATTATAACGATAACTCTTACCAGGACCGTCTCGAAGATGAAAATCAAGGGGGGTGAATAATATGAAAAATGCCGACTATCATTTTTTTATTCAATGTGTATGTAGTATAATTAACTACATGTAGTCGTATTTTACTTTTTAACATTCGTATATGTGTCTGTGTCGCACGTTCTTAAAATTGACAATTTAATTATATATATAATAATATTTGATATTGTATAATAAGTAGTTATATCAATTTTATTCATGTATATACTGTATTACGAAATATGTAATATTTGTTTTTCGTAAGTAAAATTAGATCCTTCTAGGCTATAATGAAACAAGTCCGACTGCCGACTGGTATTTTCGTTGGGGATGGGGGGACATCCCCCAAGACCCCTCTTCGGAACGGCTCTGACGTACATAAATTTACATACCTGGGTCGATTAACCTGAGTGACTGAGTTTATATTTCTATATAATATACATGTAGGTAATTATAAATATATTACCTATTTGATATCTGCATGTATATTGTTTTGTTACAAGCTATTGTAAACTTACATTAAAAAATCATTATATGCCTATAGTATAATTATAAATTATTATTTTATTCATATAAATACATAAATTTATACAAGGTGCATTAATTAATACTTCTTAAAATTAAGGCCTTTATTTATATCACAAAAAAATTGTTAAATATCATGTGCGTCTAAATTCTAAATTATGATGGTATGTAAATAAATCGAAATAACATGTAAAAAAATTTGTTATTAACAACTTTATTAATTAGTTAAAATTGTAAAATCTTTAGATCAATATTTATTTCAGTATGATTTAAAAATAATTGTAAAACATAATTTGATTAAAAAATAATTAAACAGGTATTTCCGTAATATGAAATATTTTTAGGGCATAAAAAATCTATTGAATAGTTAAATTTCTTATGGAGACCGAAATAATATAAAAACCTTTACTATACAGAAATGTTGTGAAAAAAAGTCGAATTATTTACGTTATTTATTTAATTAGAACATGTGCCTTTAAAAACACTTTTTTATCGATGTTGTGAAATTTATATTCGATGACTGGTAATAACTACTCCTATAACTACTTATGATTAACTCCAACTGATGCAAATACGTTTTTTAGATGAATTATTATGATTATTCAAATTTACGACCTATAATTGTAATTGTAAATGTGACGAACAATACAGTTATTCCGAAAATTTAACTTTTCTTGGTGACAAACTTAGAGTTTTTTAATATAGTTTCATCATTTTTTTTTAAAAAATTTCAAACTAATTTATACTATTGTGTATTAGTTTATTCAATTGTTCTGAAAACGGGGCCCCAGTATTCATACTGTAAACTGTAAGTAGTTTAATTATAATTGTATTACGATGTAACTAAATATATATATATACGAGTATATGTTCATATGTATAAATAAATGAAAATCACGTTTCAATTAATTTATTAGATTAATCAAATCTATCTCATTTGTCTTCTGTGATATTAAATTATAAAAATTAATTAGTCAAGTTTTTGTTGTTGAAATGTTTACTTTTGAAAGCCGCGTTTTGTTTATAATTAGTTGTATAAATTATAATAACATTATTTGAGCTTTAATTTTTTTTTTCAAAATTGATTCTGTATAACAGCTGCGAAATTCTGACAATCTAAAAATCAAATTTTATAACAATTTATTAATTCACATTAACCAATAAATTTTATTATTTATTAGCATAATATTTTTTATATTACCGTCCAATATATTATATACTATAAAAAGCATTTACCAACAGTTATAAATCATTCGGTTCCTCCTCATATGCCAGCTGACTTGCAAACAGTTGGCCCTAAAATATATAAATAGAAATTATATTTAATTTGAATAGAGTATATTCGGTGACTAATAAGCTTTAACCGCATTGAAAACGTCTTGTACATATTTTTCGTGAAATGCATTGGTTAAGATAGGTCTGAAATATTTTGTTTTAAATTGTTATTTATGCAGAATGCATACTTAATAGGTAGTAGTCTGTAATCGATAATATTATTTTAATCGAAGTATTTAAACACACCAATTATAACAAACTACCCGAATATTTAAAATAACTGTAGGCTTTTGCTGATAGTTTATGGCTAATATTTCTTTAATGATTTAACGATTAAGGCTAATAGTCGGTATCGAATCTCGAATATGATACCGGACAAGTTGAATGTGTTAAATAAAAAAAGACGAGTATTTATAAGATAAAATTTGATTTATGATCGCAAAGTAATTTTATTTATTTGCATACAGTAGAGTAAACGCGATAGGACCAAATTCTAATATACCTACATAGTAATATATATCACGGGAGTACAACACATCAGAATTAAAGAACTCGTCATATAAATCTATCTTAAACAAAAATAGACAAATCTGATTTTTTTCTTCTTATGATCACGTTTAATTACGAAGGAATTGACAGACAAGTCCGTTTTGTTTTTATCAAACACACTCGCCTTCTTATTACAAGTGGATGAACGTTTATTACGTTTTCTGAAATTCCTAGATAATAAAAATTTCGATTTTTTTATTCTTTTTGATGTATAAGTTTATATTTATAATAAGATCCATGCACAGTTCGTACGGATTAATATTCATGAGTATAGAAAATATAAGATCATAATTAATTTCTATACAAAAAAAAGTTGAGAGTCTCACATTATAACATTACCATATATGGGCAATAATAACATTAAAAAACAATCGTTCATTTGTATTTTGAAAAATAAAAATAACACTTAAAATAAACAATAGTAGAGAACTATACTGAATGGTAGTTACATTTAAATAATATTTAAATATAATGAAATACAGAAATAAGGGGTAACAAAAATTACTTTTGGTCAGTGATGTCATTTCACTTTTTTCTAGAGTAAGACATGCTTTTATAAAATTGTCATCTCGAAGGCTTATTTTACCAAACTTCCGATTAACATGTGGGGAGGAGAACGTCAAACCATTCCAAAAATTTAATAATTTGTGTTTTGTACAACGGTACCCATATAGTAAACGTCTCATAATTCTGATTTACAACATGTAAATGGATTTATAAAATGGTACGTATTTATGTTTTGATGATGTGCCGACTTTAGAATGGGTAAACTTTAAACTGTGGTAAATGCATGAGTTGCCCCTACTTCACAAATGACGCCAGTGTTTTTGGTTCATGTAAAAGAAAAAGAAAATCCCATTAATCTTGAAAATAAAAATAAAAACATGTTTTAGCTACATATATATATATATTAATAATTGTAATTTCCTTCACTATCGATACAATAAAATATAGTTCATAGGCGTCACTAAGGGGTACGAGGGGTATCTTTGCTACCATAGAAATTTTTGTGGGGTAGCAAGGGTATCTTTTCGCTACCCCAAAAAAAATTATAGATTTTAAAAAAATATTCGAAGTTTATTATTCAAGTGTGTACGAACATAGACCATATATTATTGTGATTGTATCTAAAATATATTTTGTGATAAGTTCAATACAGACAATAAGGCAGTGTATACACTATACGTTATATCAATATTTATGAAGAAGAGTTAGCCAGTTAAGTAAGCCAGTTATCATGTTACACCTTTAAAAATTTATTTTTTTACTTTCTAAAAATAAACTTTGCTACCCCAAAATTTGGACTTTAGTGACGCCCATGATACAGTTTAAACCGATATTTGAAAACCAAAGACTTATTTAATACGTTCTTCGTCCATTATTACTATACCAACACGGACTTATTCAACTTCAAAAATACGAAATATTATTTTATATAAAATATATTTATGTAAATATGTAGTAGTATAAAGATAGCAAAACGTTTTAAACAAAAAATATAAATTAATGCATTTAGAACAGTTTATGACTTGCGTCATGTATTCCTATGTATTGATGCATATATATGTGCAATACCATCATAATTGTTTGTAACTGAAAAGTTTGTTTATTATAATTATTTTATAATAAAAGCAATTAATAGCGTTTTAATAAATATACTCGCACAATATGAAAATATTATTAATTTATTTTATTACAAACTAATTATAATAAAAATGAACTTTTTAATTAAAAACAATTATGATGGTATTTCACATTTAAATGCAATAAGAAATATGAATAAGGTACATATATAGTGTTTTGAACAAGCAATTTAAAATAATGATCAACGTTTAAATTTTAAATCATGGCGAAACTAAAATTAAATCACCAGTAAATGTGTAATAAATAGGCCTTGGGACTCCTAGCAAATGCATTTTTTTTAAGCACTGTAAAAAGCAGCAGACCTAAGTATAAATCCTGCTTATGTTATTTGGAGTTTAATTTCAAAATTGAATTGTATAAAGTGAATACTTACCAAATACCTAATTTGATTTATTTTTTAAATCTTCACTCGAATTTTGTTTTATAGTCACCGAACGTGGGTAAACCCATATACATACCTTACTTTATATATAAGTAGTGTAAACTGAATTTTAATATCAGTATAATATACTGATATATACTGATATACATATTATGTATTTTTTACCAATCGTTATTTTACATTATTAACGAAGCCTTTATTTTTAGAATTTAAATCATTACACGGTCTACGCGTACTTGTTTATTATTATTGTTAAATTATATTCAATGTTATTGTTGTCTGCATGAAAATCTCGCTCTAATAGTGGTGGTAACTATTTTTAGCTAGTAATAATTTTGGTATTTCTGATTTCAAATAAAATAAATCTAGCAACTCACAGAGACTAGGTAAGATTATATTATTATCGTTAACTTTAAGTTCAATAACAATTTAAATTTTTTTATGGCATCCCCTTTATATTTTAAAAAAAATAACTTCAAAAAATAACAGGGCACACTCAAACGTAAAACTCTGGATCTGCCTATGATCGTATGTAAAATTGATATTTATAATTTTGGCTTATTAACCATGATCAATAAATCATATTATGTAGGTACCTATGCAGATATAGCGCAGTACATTTACTTGCAATTACTTAGTTCGTTTTAAAAATATTATTATAATTTT